ACAGTCGGATGCCGAGCAGTTCCCATACCAGGCGGTGAAGCAACCGGTCAGGATGCTCTCGATGGTGCAGCTGTAGAACTTTTTGAGGATCTGAGGACCCATGCCAAATCCTTTCAGTCTCCTGAGGGGGAATAGGCATTGTCGTGCCCTCTTCACGACGGTCTTGGTGTGTTTGGACCATGATAGTTTGTTGGTGATGTGGACACGAAGGAACTTGAAGCTCTCAACCCGCTCCACTACAGCCCCGTCGATGTGAATGGGGCGTGTTCGGCCCTCCTTTTCCTGTAGTCCACGATTAGCTCCTTTGTCTTGCTCACGTTTAGGGAGAGGTTGTTGTCCTGGCACCACACTGCCAGGTCTCTGACCTCCTCCCTATAGGCTGTCTCATCGTTGTCGGTGATCAGGCCTACCACTGTTGTGTCATCAGCAAACGTAATGATGGTGTTGGAGTCGTGCTTGGCCACGCAGTCGTGGGTGAACAGGGAGTACAGGATGGGGCTAAGCACGCACCCCTGAGGGGCCCCAGTGTTGAGGATCAGCGTGGCAGATGTGTTGTTGCCTACCCTTACCACCTGAGGGCAGCCCGTCAGGATCCAGTTGCAGAGGGAGGTGTTTAGTCCCAGGGTGCTTAGCTTAGTGATGATCTTTGTGGGCACTATGGTGTTGAACACTGAGCTGTAGTCAATGAACAGCGTAGGTGTTCCTTTTTTCCAGGTGGGAAAGGGCAGTGTGGAGTGCAATTGAGATTGCGTCATCTGTGGATCTGTTGGGGCGGTATGCGAGTTATGTAACCTTCAGGTGAAACTGAGGTATTGGTCCTACAGATATGATGTAACCTTCAGGTGAAACTGAGGTATTGGTCCTTGGCCAGCACATCTGTGTCACTACGAGTCCTCTCTCTCTCTCTCTCTCTCTCTCTCTCTCTCTCTCTCTCTCTCTCTCTCTCTCTCTCTCTCTCTCTCTCTCTCTCTCTCTCTCTCTCTAGCCTTGAGCGAACATCCCTTTTCATAGTAACAGAGTTCAACAACTCTTTATGCTTCCTTATGATGTAAACATGTATAAAGAGAATGTACTTATCAAGTGTTGGGGTGTTTGTTTTGCACACCAAGCAGTGTGTGTGTGTGTGTGTGTGCGTGTGTGTGTGTGTGTGTGCGTGCATTTGTGTCTTCTCCCTATCAGTGTGTTGAGTTGCTGTGTGTCTAAGTGTGAACGCAGCCGGGTACTCCAGCCCTGTGTTAGAGAGGCTCTGGTGAACACAGCAGGGTACTCCAGCCCTGTGTTAGAGAGGCCCTGGTGAACACAGCAGGGTACTCCAGCCCTGTGTTAGAGAGGCTCTGGTGAACACAGCAGGGTACTCCAGCCCTGTGTTAGAGAGGCTCTGGTGAACACAGCAGGGTACTCCAGCCCTGTGTTAGAGAGGCTCTGGTGAACACAGCAGGGTACTCCAGCCCTGTGTTAGAGAGGCTCTGGTGAACACAGCAGGGTACTCCAGCCCTGTGTTAGAGAGGCTCTGGTGAACACAGCAGGGTACTCCAGACCTGTGTTAGAGAGTCTCTGGTGAACACAGCAGGGTACTCCAGCCCTGTGTTAGAGAGGCTCTGGTGAACACAGCAGGGTACTCCAGCCCTGTGTTAGAGAGGCTCTGGTGAACACAGCAGGGTACTCCAGCCCTGTGTTAGAGAGGCTCTGGTGAACACAGCAGGGTACTCCAGCCCTGTGTTAGAGAGGCTCTGGTGAACACAGCAGGGTACTCCAGCCCTGTGTTAGAGAGGCTCTGGTGATAATGTGTTGTGTGGCTGTTGCCAGATGACATCATGAGAATGTCTGTGATTGGAAGTTTTTTGTCTTTAACATTTAAAGGGAGCCAACCAGTGTACTGAATGCCAAGAGGGCCTGTTTCAACCCAAGGTCTCATTCACACCATCTCAGAGTTGTGATCCAGATTCACCCTGGCTTCTGACTCTTGCCCTCCTGTTGACCTCTATTTATTCTCAAAGACTTTGATTTACATAACCAATTTAATAATGGCAAAATCCTGTAAGACTTACACTAAGGCCCAATACGCTTCTACAAGATGATATCGTGCTTTGTTTTAATATTTTATCAGATGTGTTCTCCACTTTCCCTAAGTTAATGAGTAATGAATATTTCTGATTAAAACTGTGACATCTGAAAGTCTGTCATGTCTGTTGAGCATTGAGGACCTATGGGAAATCAAACAGGAGATGATTAATTTAGTTAATCGAAGAAACCTCTGGAAGAAAGTCTACATAAAAAAATTACACACTAATTGAGAATAGTTGGTAAAGTTTTACTGTGGGAAGCAGTCGAGATTGGACTCTTTTTCTGAAAAGCCTGGGTAGGGACTTTAGCTGTAAATCTGTTCTGCCAGGAAAAGGATACTCCAAGTTAAGGACGCTGCCCTTAGTTTTGTCTGAAAAGCTGCATGGTTTGTTGTTATGATGAATCACTCTGATCTGCTAGGCAGAGTTCACTGCAGGGTTCACCACCGAGACCACTTAAAAACACACACAAACACACACACACAAATACAGTATATACAGTGCATTCGGAAAGTATTCAGACCCCTTGACTTATGCACATTATGTTACGTTACAGCCTTATTTAAAAATGTATTTAAATTGTTTTTTCCCCCCTCATTAATCTACACACAATGTCCCATAATGACAAAGCAAAAGCTGGTTTCTAGAAATGTTTGCAAATGTATGACAAATAAAAAACTGAAATATGACATTTACATGAGTATTCAGACCCTTTACTCAGTACTTTGTTGAAGCACCTTTGGCAGCGATCAGGTCTTTATGGTGGAGTGGCCAGACGGAAGCCACTCCTCAGTAAAAGGCACATGACAGCCCACTTGGAGTTTGCCAAAAGTCACCTAAAGACTCTCAGACCATGAGAAACAAGATTCTCTGGTCTGATGAAACCAAGATTGAACTCTTTGACCTGAATGCCAAGTGTCACGTCTGGAGAAAACCTGCCACCATCCCTACGGTGAAGCATGGTGGTGGCAGCATCATGCTCTGGGGATGTTTTTCAGCGGCAGGGACTGGGTGACAGTCAGGATTGAGGGAAAGATGAACGGAGCAAAGTACGGAGAGATCCTTGATGAAAACCTTCTACAGAGCGCTCAGGACCTCAGACTGGGGCGAAGGTTCACCTTCCAACAGGACAACGACCCTAAGCACACAGCCAAGACAACGCAGGATTGACTTCGGGACAAGTCTCTGAATGTCCTTGAGTGGCCCAGCCAGAGCCCGGACTTGAACCCGATCGAACATCTCTGGAGAGACCTGACAATAGCTGGGCTGCGATGCTCCCCATCCAACCTAACAGAGCTTGAGAGGATCTGCAGAGAAGAATGGGAGAAACTCCACAAATACAGGTGTGCCAAGCTTGTAGCGTCATACCCAAGAAGACTCGAGGCTGTAATCTCTGCCAAAGGTGCTTCAACAAAGTACTGAGTAAAGGGCCTGAATACTTACGTAAATGTGATATTTCAGTTTTTTATTTTTAATACATTTGCAAAAATTTCTAAAAACCTGGGGTATTGTGTGTAGATTGATGAGGGGGAAAAAACGATTGAATCCATTTTAGAATAAGGCTGTAACGTAACAAAATGTGTAAAAAGTCAAGGGGTCTGAATACTTTCCGAATGCACTGTATATATAAATATAAAAATGCACGTATGCACACACACACACACACACATACACACAGCCAGTTCCACTCAGGCATGGCCTGAAGCTCTCAGACATATGTCTCTGAGGAAATGAGAAGGAGGTCAGTGGATTGAAGTGACATCAAACATTCACGACATCATGACCAACATTGAGAGGTCTCAGCCATGATCCAGCCAAGTCTTCTAATACAGCGCCACACTGTGGACATGTAGGTACATTGCAATAACAATCCTTTGGTTGTCCCTGGTTCTTACACAAAGGAAGTGATGTTATTTCTTCAACGTGTATTTCTTGGCTGCTTTGTGTTTATGTTGATTGTGAACATTAACAGCCAAGTGTTGAGTTTGTTTGGTAATTGAAGGATCAGCAGGGATAACACCGTTACAGTATCAGTACACTTTCACCATTTGTAATTAATACCCAAAGGGTTTAGTTACACTAAGTCAACATTTCTCTGTAAGGGTGAAAGTTTAAAAAATACATTATTTATAGTCATCAAATTTTCCAATCAATTTTGTAGGGTTGTGTTAACTGTTTACAAGGCCAGTGTTATTCAGTGATGTCCTCTAACCTTGACATATTTAGGGTTGTGTTAACTGTTTACAAGGCCAGTGTTACTCAGTAATGTCCTCTAACCTTGACATATTTAGGGTTGTGTTAACTGTTTACATGGCTAGTGTTACTCAGTGATGTGCGCTAACCTTGACATATTTAGGGTTGTGTTAACTGTTTACAAGGCCAGTGTTACTCAGTGATGTGCTCTAACCTTGACATATTTAGGGTTGTGTTAACTGTTTACATGGCTAGTGTTACTCAGTGATGTGCTCTAACCTTGACATATTTAGGGTTGTGTTAACTGTTTACAAGGCCAGTGTTACTCAGTGATGTCCTCTAACCTTGACATATTTAGGGTTGTGTTAACTGTTTACAAGGCTAGTGTTACTCAGTGATGTGCTCTAACCTTGACATATTTAGGGTTGTGTTAACTGTTTACAAGGCTAGTGTTACTCAGTAATGTCCTCTAACCTTGACATATTTAGGGTTGTGTTAACTGTTTACAAGGCTAGTGTTACTCAGTGATGTCCTCTAACCTTGACATATTTAGGGTTGTGTTAACTGTTTACAAGGCTAGTGTTACTCAGTAATGTCCTCTAACATTGACATATTTAGGGTTGTGTTAACTGTTTACAAGGCCAGTGTTACTCAGTGATGTCCTCTAACCTTGACATATTTAGGGTTGTGTTAACTGTTTACATGGCTAGTGTTACTCAGTGATGTGCTCTAACCTTGGCCTATATGCGTGATGTCATCATTTGGAAAATACGTAGTCATGTATGTATCAATAATGGTGCCATTGAAGCCTCTTCTTTCCTCAATATATGATCAATATATGCTCAGTATGTTTGTCTGTTTGTTCTTTCATTTCAGGCCGGCCGCATCGACCCCCACCACCCCAAAGTGTGTGGCCACCAAGGCAATGTCCTGGACATCAAATGGAATCCCTTCTTTGAAAACATCATAGCTTCCTGCTCTGAAGATTCCTCTGTATGTGCACACACACACACACAGACACACACACATACACACATACACACGCACACACACAGACACACACAGACACACACACACACACACACACACACACAGTAAACTGCTGTTTCTGCTGCCTCATTGACTGTGCTGCTATGTTAGTTCTGCATCCCGTAGTCCTTTCACTTATTATGGGATACTCTCCTCAGTACATCACAGAGCTCCATCACTGCTGTAATCCACTTCAATCCTAATACCACAACATTGATTGTATGGTCTATTTTCCATCAAGGGTACAGCAGCTCTCTATGCTGACATTTTCAATACAAACATACAAACTGGCAATCTAATCACAAATAGGATCAGGAATACAGGAGTGTATGACTGGCTAAAGTATCAAAGGTCTAAACGCTGGGTTGACGTTGAAGTGTCAAAGGTACTCTAGCAGAGAATGAAACAGTTACTTTATTCAAATATATTTTGTGAATTTGTTTACTAAAGATCAGGGGATTGATGCTAATTGTGTTTGTGCGTGTGTGTGTGTGTGTGTGTGTGTGTGTGCGTGCCTGCGTATGCCAGGTACGAGTATGGGAGATCCCCGAGGGAGGGCTGAGGCGGAATATGACAGAGGCCATGATGGAGCTGTATGGACACAGCAGGCGTGTGGGCCTCATCGAGTGGCACCCCACCAGCAGTGGCATCCTCTTCAGCGCTGGCTACGACTATAAGGTATCATCACAGATCACTGGCTACGACTGTAAGGTATCATCACAAATCACTGGCTATGAATGTAAGGTGTCATCACAGATCACTGGCTACAACTGTAAGGTATCACCACAGATCACTGGCTATGAATGTAAGGTGTCATCACAGATCACTGGCTACAACTGTAAGGTATCATCACAGATCACTGGCTATAAATGTAAGGTATCATCACAGATCACTGGCTATGAATGTAAGGTATCATCACAGATCACTGGCTACGACTATAAGGTATCATCACAGATCACTGGCTACAACTGTAAGGTATCATCACAGATCACTGGCTACGACTGTGAGGTATCATCACAGATCACTGGCTATGAATGTAAGGTATCATCACAGATCACTGGCTACGACTATAAGGTATCATCACAGATCACTGGCTGCGACTATAAGGTATCATCACAGATCACTGGCTGCGACTATAAGGTATCATCACAGATCACTGGCTGTGACTACAAGGTATCATCACAGATCACTACTAGGACTATAAGGTATCATCACAGATCATCAGTTAGACTATAAGGTATCATCACAGATCACTACTAGGACTATAAGGTATCATTACAGATTACTGGCTGCGACTATAAGGTATCATCACAGATCACTGGCTGCGACTACAAGGTATCATTACATATCACTACTAGGACTATAATGTATCATCCCATATCACTAGCTAGGACTATAAGGTATCATCACAGATCACTGCTAGGACTATAAGGTATCATTCCAGATCACTAGCTAGACTATAAGGTATCATCCCAGATCACTAGCTAGACTATAAGGTATCATCCCAGATTACTACTAGGACTATAAGGTATCATCCCAGATCACTGCTAGGACTATAAGGTATCACTACAGATCACTGCTAGGACTATAAGGTATCATCCCAGATCCCTAGCTAGGACTATAAGGTATCATTACAGATCACTGCTAGGACTATAAGGTATCATCCCAGATCACTACTAGGACTATAAGGTATCATCCCAGATCACTGCTAGGACTATAAGATATCATCCCAGATCACTAGCTAGGACTATAAGGTATCATTACAGATCACTGCTAGGACTATAAGGTATCATCCCAGATCACTAGCTAGACTATAAGGTATCATTACAGATCACTACTATGACTATAAGGTATCATTACAGTTCACTGCTAGGACTATAAGGTATCATCCCAGATCCCTGCTAGGACTATAAGGTATCATCCCAGATCACTGTTAGGACTATAAGGTATCATTACAGATCACTGCTAGGACTATAAGGTATCATCCCAGATCACTAGCTAGACTATAAGGTATCATCACATATCACTAGCTAGACTATAAGGTATCATCCCAGATCACTAGCTAGACTGTAAGGTATCATTACAGATCACTGCTAGGACTATAAGGTATCATCCCAGATCACTAGCTAGACTATAAGGTATCATCACATATCACTAGCTAGACTATAAGGTATCATCCCAGATCACTAGCTAGACTGTAAGGTATCATCTCAGATCACTACTAGGACTATAAGGTATCATCCCAGATCACTAGCTAGACTATAAGGTCTCATCACATATCACTAGCTAGACAATAAGGTATCGTCCCAGATCATTAGCTAGACTGTAAGGTATCATCACATATCACTAGCTAGACTATAAGGTATCATCCCAGATCACTAGCTAGACTGTAAGGTATCATCACATATCACTAGCTAGACTATAAGGTATCATCCCAGATCACTAGCTAGACTGTAAGGTATCATCACATATCACTAGCTAGACTATAAGGTATCATCCCAGATCACTAGCTAGACTGTAAGGTATCATCCCAGATCACTAGCTAGACTGTAAGGTATCATCCCAGATCACTGCTAGGACTATAAGGTATCATTACAGATCACTGGCTAGGACTATAATGTATCATCCCAGATCACTAGCTAGACTATAAGGTATCATCCCAGATCACTGCTAGGACTATAAGGTATCATTACAGATCACTGGCTGTGACTACAAGGTATCATCCCAGATCACTAGCTAGGACTATAAGGTATCATCCCAGATCACTAGCTAGGACTACAAGGTATCATCCCAGATCACTGCTAGGACTATAAGGTATCATCCCAGATCACTACTAGGACTATAAGGTATCATTACAGATCACTGCTAGGACTATAAGGTATCATCCCAGATCACTAGCTAGACTATAAGTTATCATCACAGATCACTAGCTAGACTATAAGGTGTCATCCCAGATCACTGCTAGGACTATAAGGTATCATTACAGATCACTGCTAGGACTATAAGGTATCATTACAGATCACTAGCTAGGACTATAAGGTATCATCCCAGATCACTAGCTAGGACTATACGGTATCATCCCAGATGACTGCTAGGACTATAAGGTATCATCCCAGATCACTACTAGGACTATAAGGTATCATCCCAGATCACTACTAGGACTATAAGGTATCATCACAGATCACTGCTAGGACTATAAGGTATCATCCCAGATCGCTGCTAGGACTATAAGGTATCATCCCAGATCACTACTAGGACTATAAGGTATCATCCCAGATCCCTGCTAGGACTATAAGGTATCATCCCAGATCACTGCTAGGACTATAATGTATCATTACAGATCACTGCATGGACTATAAGGTATCATCCCGGATCACTAGCTAGACTATAAGGTATCATCACATATCACTAGCTAGACTATAAGGTATCATCCCAGATCACTAGCTAGACTGTAAGGTATCACCCCAGATCACTACTAGGACTATAAGGTATCATCCCAGATCACTAGCTAGACTATAAGGTCTCATCACATATCACTAGCTAGACAATAAGGTATCATCCCAGATCACTAGCTAGACTGTAAGGTATCATCACATATCACTAGCTAGACTATAAGGTATCATCCCAGATCACTAGCTAGACTGTAAGGTATCATCCCAGATCACTAGCTAGACTGTAAGGTATCATCCCAGATCACTGCTAGGACTATAAGGTATCATTACAGATCACTGGCTAGGACTATAAGGTATCATCCCAGATCACTAGCTAGACTATAAGGTATCATCCCAGATCACTGCTAGGACTATAAGGTATCATTACAGATCACTGGCTGTGACTACAAGGTATCATCCCAGATCCCTGCTAGGACTATAAGGTATCATCCCAGATCACTGCTAGGACTATAAGGTATCATTACAGATCACTGCATGGACTATAAGGTATCATCCCAGATCACTAGCTAGACTATAAGGTATCATCACATATCACTAGCTAGACTATAAGGTATCATCCCAGATCACTAGCTAGACTGTAAGGTATCACCCCAGATCACTACTAGGACTATAAGGTATCATCCCAGATCCCTGCTAGGACTATAAGGTATCATCCCAGATCACTGCTAGGACTATAAGGTATCATTACAGATCACTGCATGGACTATAAGGTATCATCCCAGATCACTAGCTAGACTATAAGGTATCATCACATATCACTAGCTAGACTATAAGGTATCATCCCAGATCACTAGCTAGACTGTAAGGTATCACCCCAGATCACTACTAGGACTATAAGGTATCATCCCAGATCACTAGTTAGACTATAAGGTCTCATCACATATCACTAGCTAGACAATAAGGTATCATCCCAGATCACTAGCTAGACTGTAAGGTATCATCACATATCACTAGCTAGACTATAAGGTATCATCCCAGATCACTAGCTAGACTGTAAGGTATCATCCCAGATCACTAGCTAGACTGTAAGGTATCATCCCAGATCACTGCTAGGACTATAAGGTATCATTACAGATCACTGGCTAGGACTATAAGGTATCATCCCAGATCACTAGCTAGACTATAAGGTATCATCCCAGATCACTGCTAGGACTATAAGGTATCATTACAGATCACTGGCTGTGACTACAAGGTATCATCCCAGATCACTAGCTAGGACTATAAGGTATCATCCCAGATCACTAGCTAGGACTATAAGGTATCATCCCAGATGACTGCTAGGACTATAAGGTATCATCCCAGATCACTGCTAGGACTATAAGGTATCGTCACAGATCACTAGCTAGACTATAAGGTATCATCCCAGATCACTAGCTAGACTATAAGGTATCATTACAGATCACTGGCTGTGACTACAAGGTATCATTACAGATTACTGCTAGGACTATAAAGTATCATCCCAGATCACTAGCTAGACTATAAGGTATCATCCCAGATCACTGCTAGGACTATAAGGTATCATCACAGATCACTAGCTAGACTGTAAGGTATCATCCCAGATCACTAGCTAGACTGTAAGGTATCATCCCAGATCAATAGCTAGGCTATAAGGTATCATCCCAGATCAATAGCTAGGCTATAAGGTATCATCCCAGATCACTGCTAGGACTATAAGGTATCATCCCAGATCACTAGGTAGACTGTAAGGTATCATCACAGATCACTAGCTAGACTGTAAGGTGTCATCCCAGATCACTTCATACACAACAGGGTCATATTCATTAGTGCACACCGTAGCACAATGTGACAAAATTATTTGCAATAGTAAACGAAAATAAAATGTGTTTGTTATTGGGCAAGTTCAGGTAGTCTTTCCCCATTTCACTCCATTTTCTTCTAAGATAAGATCTGATCTAAGATATTATTAGATCTGACAGTTCATATGATTCCCTGCCCATCCCATCCAGATCCTGATCTGGAACCTGGAGATAGGTGAGCCGGTGAAGATGATCGACTGTCACTCTGATGTCATCGTGTGTATGTCCTTCAACACAGACGGCAGCCTGCTGGCCACCAGCTGTAAGGACAAGAAGCTGCGTGTCATCGAGCCGCGCTCCGGGAGAGTCTTACAGGTCAGTCTTGCAGCAAGCAGAGAAAGATTCACTATTTACCTCCTTTAAAGAAACATGGTTTCACTATGTACCTCCTTTACAGAAACATGGTTTCACTATGTACCTCCTTTACAGAAACATGGTTTCACTATGTACCTCCTTTACAGAGACAAGGTTTCACGATGTACCTCCTGTTTGTGTTTGTTCCCCACATTTAGAGTGAATATAATGCCCCATTACAGTAGTCTCTGTGTGTTTGTTCCCCACATTTAGAGTGAATATAATGCCCCATTACAGCAGTCTCTGTGTTTGTTCCCCACATTTAGAGTGAATATAATGCCCCATTACAGCAGTCTCTGTGTGTTTGTTCCCCACATATAGAGTGAATATAATGCCTCATTACAGTAGTCTCTGTGTGTTTGTTCCCCACATTTAGAGTGAATATAATGCCCCATTACAGTAGTCTCTGTGTGATTGTTCCCCACATTTAGAGTGAATATAATGCCCGATTACAGTAGAGTCTCTGTGTGTTTGTTCCCCACATTTAGAGTGAATATAATGCCCCATTACAGTAGCCTCTGTGTGATTGTTCCCCACATTTAGAGTGAATATAATGCCCCATTACAGCAGTCTCTGTGTGTTTGTTCCCCACATTTAGAGTGAATAGAATGCCTCATTACAGTAGTCTCTGTGTGTTTGTTCCCCACATTTAGAGTGAATATAATGCCCGATTACAGCAGTCTCTGTGTGTTTGTTCCCCACATATAGAGTGAATATAATGCCTCATTACAGTAGTCTCTGTGTGTTTGTTCCCCACATTTAGAGTGAATATAATGCCCCATTACAGTAGTCTCTGTGTGATTGTTCCCCACATTTAGAGTGAATATAATGCCCGATTACAGTAGAGTCTCTGTGTGTTTGTTCCCCACATTTAGAGTGAATATAATGCCCCATTACAGTAGTCTCTGTGTGTTTGTTCCCCACATTTAGAGTGAATATAATGCCCCATTACAGCAGTCTCTGTGTGTTTGTTCCCCACATTTAGAGTGAATATAATGCCCCATTACAGCAGTCTCTGTGTGTTTGTTCCCCACATTTAGAGTGAATATAATGCCCCATTACAGCAGTCTCTGTGTGTTTGTTCCCCACATTTAGAGTGAATATAATGCCCCATTACAGCAGTCTCTGTGTGTTTGTTCCCCACATATAGAGTGAATAGAATGCCTCATTACAGTAGTCTCTGTGTGTTTGTTCCCCACATTTAGAGTGAATATAATGCCCCATTACAGTAGTCTCTGTGTGATTGTTCCCCACATTTAGAGTGAATATAATGCCCGATTACAGTAGAGTCTCTGTGTGTTTGTTCCCCACATTTAGAGTGAATATAATGCCCGATTACAGTAGAGTCTCTGTGTGTTTGTTCCCCACATTTAGAGTGAATATAATGCCCCATTACAGCAGTCTCTGTGTGTTTGTTCCCCACATATAGAGTGAATAGAATGCCTCATTACAGTAGTCTCTGTGTGTTTGTTCCCCACATTTAGAGTGAATATAATGCCCCATTACAGTAGTCTCTGTGTGATTGTTCCCCACATTTAGAGTGAATATAATGCCCGATTACATTAGAGTCTCTGTGTGTTTGTTCCCCACATTTAGAGTGAATATAATGCCCCATTACAGTAGTCTCTGTGTGTTTGTTCCCCACATTTAGAGTGAATATAATGCCTCATTACAGTAGTCTCTGTGTGTTTGTTCCCCACATTTAGAGTGAATATAATGCCCCATTACAGTAGTCTCTGTGTGTTTGTTCCCCACATTTAGAGTGAATATAATGCCCCATTACAGTAGTCTCTGTGTGTTTGTTCCCCACATTTAGAGTGAATATAATGCCCCATTACAGTAGTCTCTGTGTGTTTGTTCCCCACCAGTACGCCAGCTGTAAGAACCACAGGGTGAACAGAGTGGTGTTTCTGGGCAACATGAAGCGGCTGCTGACAACAGGTGTGTCCCGGTGGAACACCAGACAGATTGCACTGTGGGATCAGGTGAGGCAGCCGGGGACCCCTGCTAGGCTACAGGACTGTATGTGTCCCCTTGAGTGGTGTGTAAGGAGTTGGTTGGGTGTGTGTGTGTGTGTGTGTGTGTGTGTGTGTGTGTGTGTGTGTTGTAGCCATTAGAGTGTGTGCATATGTAATGTGTGTATGTGCACAGTACGTGCCTTATATGTGTGTCATAGGTTGTGTGGGAGTGAAATCTGGGGACCATGTTGTTCATTCCATTTTTTGTTTACTAAAGATTAGGGGATTGATGCTAATTGTGTGTGTGTGTGTGTGTGTGTGTGTGTGTGTGTGTGTGTGTGTGTGTGTGTGTGTGTGTGTGTGTGTGTGTGTGTGTGTGTGTGTGTGTGTGTGTGTGTGTGTGTGTGTGTGTGTGTGTGTGTGTGTGTGTGTGTGTTTGTGTGCGTTCGTGCATGTGTGCAAGCACACTTGTGTGAATATCCTCAAGCAAGGATCGTGTTTGTCCTCAAGTGTGTGTGTTCAGGAACAACGTCTTATCCCTGTGTGTGTGTGTGTGTGTGTGTGTGTGTTCCCCCACAGGAGGACCTGTCTATGCCCATGGTAGAAGAGGAGATAGACGGTCTCTCAGGACTGCTGTTTCCCTTCTATGATGCAGACACACACATGCTGTACCTGGCAGGAAAGGTAAGCACAACCCCCATAGACACCACAATGAATAGTCTGCACTCATGTAGTGGATCTGTTTCAAAATACAAATTAGTCATTTGATTGGTTTAGGTAGATGTGAGACCATAGGGTATCCAAAACGTTAACTTGTAAACCAAAATAATATTTTACATTCCCTGATTCAATGATCGTATCCCCCGCACATTGTTATTGTTATTTTATTGTGTTTTAGTTTATTTAGTAAATATTTTCTTAACTCAATTTCTTGAACTGCTTTGTTGGTAAAGGGCTTGTAAGTAAGCCTTTCACGTTAAGGTCTACACCTGTTGTATTCGGCGCATGTGACAAATAGCATTTGATTTGATTTGATTTTGTGTTTCATCAACAACCCCTGTTAGTAATAGTAAAGGTAAAACATAGAGGTATATGTATTGGAAGACACCTTGATCAGATAGTAAACAAATATATCCATTCCATTCACAGGGCGATGGCAACATCCGTTACTATGAGATCACCACAGAGAAGCCATACCTGCAGTATCTCATGGAGTTCCGCTCCCCTGCCCCACAGAAAGGCCTTGGTAAGTGACAGACTCACTGGGGGCCGACCCCTAGAGACAGAGATCCAGGGTTTGGGTTTGTTTTCTCAGCTACATCTTAGCTTTCATTCAGTAATGTTGTTGCACGTTTTTTTGTTTTATGTGTGAAAAATCTATGGAAATGTCTAAGGTAATGTTATACAGTAACAGGACTATGGTGATGTCTAAGGTAATGTTATACAGTAACATCGCTATGGTGATGTCTAAGGTAATGTTATAAAGTAACATCGCTATGGTGATGTCTAAGGTAATGTTATACAGTAACAGGACTATGGTGATGTCTAAGGTAATGTTATACAGTAACAGGACTATGGTGATGTCTAAGGTAATATTATACAGTAACATCGCTATGGTGATGTCTAAGGTAATGTTATACAGTAACAGGACTATGGTGATGTCTAAGGTAATGTTATACAGTAACAGGACTATGGTGATGTCTAAGGTAATGTTATACAGTAACAGGACTATGGTGATGTCTAAGGTAATGTTATACAGTAACAGGACTATGGTGATGTCTAAGGTAATGTTATACAGTAACAGGACTATGGTGATGTCTAAGGTAATGTTATACAGTAACAGGACTATGGTGATGTCTAAGGTAATGTTATACAGTAACAGGACTATGGTGATGTCTAAGGTAATGTTATACAGTAACAGGACTATGGTGATGTCTAAGGTAATGTTATACAGTAACATCCCTATGGTGATGTCTAAGGTAATGTTATACAGTAACATCCCTATGGTGATGTCTAAGGTAATGTTATACAGTAACATCGCTATGGTGATGTCTAAGGTAATGTTATACAGTAACGGGACTATGGTGATGTCTAAGGTAATGTTATACAGTAGCATCCCTATGGTGATGTCTAAGGTAATGTTATACAGTAACATCCCTATGGTGATGTCTAAGGTAATGTTATACAGTAACATCCCTATGGGGATGTCTAAGGTAATGTTATACAGTAACATCCCTATGGTGATGTCTAAGGTAATGTTATACAGTAACATCCCTATGGTGATGTCTAAGGTAATGTTATACAGTAACAGGACTATGGTGATGTCTAAGGTAATGTTATACAGTAACATCGCTATGGTGATGTCTAAGGTAATGTTATACAGTAACAGGACTATGGTGATGTCTAAGGTAATGTTATACAGTAACATCGCTATGGTGATGTCTAAGGTAATGTTATACAGTAACATCCCTATGGTGATGTCTAAGGTAATGTTATACAGTAACAGGACTATGGTGATGTCTAAGGTAATGTTATACAGTAACATCCCTATGGTGATGTCTAAGGTAATGTTATACAGTAACAGGACTATGGTGATGTCTAAGGTAATGTCATACAGTAACATCCCTATGGTGATGTCTAAGGTAATGTTATACAGTAACAGGACTATGGTGATGTCTAAGGTAATGTTATACAGTAACAGGACTATGGTGATGTCTAAGGTAATGTTATACAGTAACAGGACTATGGTGATGTCTAAGGTAATGTTATACAGTAACAGGACTATGGTGATGTCTAAGGTAATGTTATACAGTAACAGGACTATGGTGATGTCTAAGGTAATGTTATACAGTAACATCCCTATGGTGATGTCTAAGGTAATGTTATACAGTAACAGGACTATGGTGATGTCTAAGGTAATGTTATACAGTAACAGGACTATGGTGATGTCTAAGGTAATGTTATACAGTAACAGGACTATGGTGATGCCTAAGGTAATGTTATACAGTAACATCCCTATGGTGATGTCTAAGGTAATGTTATACAGTAACAGGACTATGGTGATGCCTAAGGTAATGTTATACAGTAACATCCCTATGGTGATGTCTAAGGTAATGTTATACAGTAACATCCCTATGGTGATGTCTAAGGTAATGTTATACAGTAACAGGACTATGGTGATGTCTAAGGTAATGTTATACAGTAACATCCCTATGGTGATGTCTAAGGTAATGTTATACAGTAACAGGACTATGGTGATGTCTAAGGTAATGTTATACAGTAACATCCCTATGGTGATGTCTAAGGTAATGTTATACAGTAACAGGACTATGGTGATGTCTAAGGTAATGTTATACAGTAACATCGCTATGGTGATGTCTAAGGTAATGTTATACAGTAACAGGACTATGGTGATGTCTAAGGTAATGTTATACAGTAACAGGACTATGGTGATGTCTAAGGTACCTCCATTCCCTCCCCAGGTGTGATGCCCAAGCATGGGCTGGACGTAGCGGCCTGTGAGGTGTTCCGCTTCTACAAGCTGGTGACGCTGAAGGGGCTGATCGAGCCCATCTCCATGATAGTACCAAGGAGGGTCAGTGTCAGTGGGGATGCCCCTCTCCCTATCCCTTCATATAGCAGTGTTTCTCAATCCATTCCTGGAGGACCTTAGGGCGTGTGCACATATTTGTTACAGCCCTGCACTAACACACCTCATTCATCTAATCCAGGGCAGTTGAATCAGATTGTATGTTAAATCAGTGCAGGGTTGGAACAAAAATGTGCGCTCTTGGGAAGAAACAGAGGTATAAAAGTATTGGAACAGGCTCTCAATCTGTCTCTCCTGGTGTTGCAGTCAGAGACGTACCAGGAGGACATCTATCCAATGACGGCAGGGACCGAGCCTGCCCTCTCAGCCAATGAGTGGTTGAGTGGGATCAACCGAGGTACAGTGCATGTGCCTTTAGTTTGAATGTTCAATACACCTCTTGATACAGTCCTCACAGTGGGAAAGGAAATGAAATGTTTACATCAATGTAGCACATTTTCATGAAGTAAATTGTGTCTGTGTGTGTGTGTGTGTGTGTGTGTGTGTGTGTGTCTGTGTGTGTGTGTGTGTGTGTGTGTGTGTGTGTGTGTGTGTGTGTGTGTGTGTGTGTGTGTGTGTGTGTGTGTGTGTGTGTGTGTGCGTGTGTGTGCAGACCCAGTGTTAATGTCCCTGAAGGAGGGCTACCAGAAGCCCAACCAGCTGGTGTTCAAGGCCCCGGTGAAGGAGAAGAAGAGTGTGGTGGTCAACGGCATCGACCTGCTGGAAAACGTGCCACCCAGGACAGAGAACGAGGTGTGTTCATCAGATACAGTGGGGAGGCCCAGACCATTCAGATTAAAATGAGAACAAAGAAATAACTATGACACTGTTCCTCAAGACAACATGCTACACTGATATACCTCAGTATAAAACACTCGTTCCTCAGAACACAATGCTTTCTAATGTCCTGAAACCCTCCTCATGGGTGTAGCATACTAGACATCGACTATTTCATGTGTACCACAGATATATAGTGGGGGAAAAAGTATTTAGTCAGCCACCAATTGTGCAAGTTCTCCCACTTAAAAAGATGAGAGAGGCCTGTAATTTTCATCATAGGTACACGTCAACTATGACAGACAAATTGAGAAGAAAAAAAATCCAGAAAATCACATTGTAGGATTTTTAATGAATTTATTTGCAAATTATGGTGGAAAATAAGTATTTGGTCACCTACAAACAAGCAAGATTTCTGGCTCTCACAGACCTGTAACTTCTTCTTCAAGAGGCTCCTCTGTCCTCCACTCGTTACCTGTATTAATGGCACCTGTTTGAACTTGTTATCAGTATAAAAGACACCTGTCCACAACCTCAAACAGTCACACGCCAAACTCCACTATGGCCAAGACCAAAGAGCTGTCAAAGGACACCAGAAACAAAATTGTAGACCTGCACCAGGCTGGGAAGACTGAATCTGCAATAGGTAAGCAGCTTGGTTTGAAGAAATCAACTGTGGGAGCAATTATTAGGAAATGGAAGACATACAATACCACTGATAATCTCCCTCGATCTGGGGCTCCACACAAAATCTCACCCCGTGGGGTCAAAATGATCACAAGAATGGTGAGCAAAATTCCCAGAACCACACGGGGGGACCTAGTGAATGACCTGCAGAGAGCTGGGACCAAAGTAACAAAGCCTACCATCAGTAACACACTACGCCGCCAGGGACTCAAATCCTGCAGTGCCAGATGTGTCCCCCTGCTTAAGCCAGTACATGTCCAGGCCCGTCTGAAGTTTGCTAGAGTGCATTTGGATGATCCAGAAGAGGATTGGGAGAATGTCATATGGTCAGATGAAACCAAAATAGAACTTTTTGGTAAAAACTCAACTCGTCGTGTTTGGAGGACAAAGAATGCTGAGTTGCATCCAAAGAACACCATACCTACTGTGAAGCATGGGGGTGGAAACGTCATGCTTTGGGGCTGTTTTTCTGCAAAGGGACCAGGACGACTGATCCGTGTAAAGGAAAGAATGAATGGGGCCATGTATCGTGAGATTTTGAGTGAAAACCTCCTTCCATCAGCAAGGGCATTGAAGATGAAACGTGGCTGGGTCTTTCAGCATGACAATGATCCCAAACACACCGCCCGGGCAACGAAGGAGTTGCTTCGTAAGAAGCATTTCAAGGTCCTGGAGTGGCATAGCCAGTCTCCAGATCTCAACCCCATAGAAAATCTTTGAAGGGAGTTGAAAGTCTGTGTTGCCCAGCGACAGCCCCAAAACATCACTGCTCTAGAGGAGATCTGCATGGAGGAATGGGCCAAAATACCAGCAACAGTGTGTGAAAACCTTGTGAAGACTTACAGAAAACGTTTGACCTGTGTCATTGCCAACAAAGGGTATATAACAAAGTATTGAGAAACTTTTGTTATTGACCAAATACTTATTTTCCACCATAATTTGCAAATAAATTCATTAAAAATCCTACAATGTGATTTTCTGGAGAAAAAAAATCTCATTTTGTCTGTCATAGTTGACGTGTACCTATGATGAAAATTACAGGCCTCTCTCATCTTTTTAAGTGGGAGAACTTGCACAATTGGTGGCTGACTAAATACTTTTTTTCCCCACTGTAACTGTGGATGGGGGATGGGGGGATGAATGAGAAGAAAAGGGAGAGAAGAGAAGAGAGGGAGAGAAGGAGGAAGGTGGGTGGGTGGATTGGTGGATGGGTGGGTGGGTGGGTGGATGCCTGTTTTGGGTGTATTAAACACTATTTCGCATGGGGTGCAAATGCTCAAATGACTTCCCAAGCACAATTACAAACTATGGTCTATAGCTTGTTATCTATGTGACCCTGATCCATCTGTTCATTTCTGTAGTTACTGAGGATGTTCTTCAGGACGCTATGTGACCCTGATCTCTCTGTTCTGTTCTGTAGTTACTGAGGATGTTCTTCAGGACGCTATGTGACCCTGATCTCTCTGTTCTGTTCTGTAGTTACTGAGGATGTTCTTCAGGACGCTATGTGACCCTGATCTCTCTGTTCTGTTCTGTAGTTACTGAGGATGTTCTTCAGGACGCTATGTGACCCTGATCTCTCTGTTCTGTTCTGTAGTTACTGAGGATGTTCTTCAGGACGCTATGTGACCCTGATCTCTCTGTTCTGTTCTGTAGTTACTGAGGATGTTCTTCAGGACGCTATGTGACCCTGATCTCTCTGTTCTGTTCTGTAGTTACTGAGGATGTTCTTCAGGACGCTATGTGACCCTGATCTCTCTGTTCTGTTCTGTAGTTACTGAGGATGTTCTTCAGGCAGCAGGAGGAGCTGAGAAAGCTGAAGGAGGAGCTGAACACCAAGGACGTTAAAATACGCCAGCTGGAGCTGGAACTCAACAACCTGAGGAATGTCAGCCCCGCTGGAAACAATGTCTGACCTCTGGCCTATGGCACCACCACCACGCCACGTCCAGCTTCCTCCCTCCGTCCCTCCCTCACTTTCATCGCGTATCATTTGTACTTCATGTTGCGATTGATTATGTAATAGCCACCGGATAATGTAAATACTGATTATAGCGTTTGTGTAACAGTTTTTGTTATCTATAACGTAATCATGTCGACATAACTGCTAAATCCCTCAATTGATAACATAATAACCAACTGGTAATGCAATTTATTGTTATAAGATTTTTTTAAATTCTGTTCCATTGATGTATCCTGATATCCGGTTTGGTTTCATTACGATTAGTTATTACATCATCAGTTGCAATACGCCACTCCCCCCTACTGCAGAGCACCATCAGTGTACCCCAGGGGTCCTCACACCCCACCTGCCATGTCATGCCATGCCCCTCTGAGTCCACGGGGCAAAGCCTTTGTCATCACCCAGAAATGCCACCCCCAAATCCTCCAACCTCCACCCTTCCATCACCAGAGACTACCCTGGGGAAAGAGATTGACTACCCCCTTCTCCACCCTACTCCAACCTCCACCCTTCCATCACCAGAGACTACCCTGGGGAAAGAGATTGACTACCCCCTTCTCCACCCTACACCAACCTCCACCCTTCCATCACCAGAGACTACCCTGGGGAAAGAGATTGACTACCCCCTTCTCCACCCTACTCCAACCTTCCATCACCAGAGACTACCCTGGGGAAAGAGATTGACTACCCCCTTCTCCACCCTACACCAACCTCCACCCTTCCATCACCAGAGACTACCCTGGGGAAAGAGATTGACTACCCCCTTCTCCACCCTACACCAACCTCCACCCTTCCATCACCAGAGACTACCCTGGGGAAAGAGATTGACTACCCCCTTCTCCACCCTACACCAACCTCCACCCTTCCATCACCAGAGACTACCCTGGGGAAAGAGATTGACTACCCCCTTCTCCACCCTACACCAACCTCCACCCTTCCATCACCAGAGACTACCCTGGGGAAAGAGATTGACTACCCCCTTCTCCACCCTACTCCAACCTCCACCCTTCCATCACCAGAGACTACCCTGGGGAAAGAGATTGACTACCCCCTTTTCCACCCTACTCCAACCTCCACCCTTCCATCACCAGAGACTACCCTGGGGAAAGAGATTGATTACCCCCTTCTCCACCCTACTCCAACCTCCACCCTTCCATCACCAGAGACTACCCTGGGGAAAGAGATTGACTACCCCCTTCTCCACCCTACTCCAACCTCCACCCTTCCATCACCAGAGACTACCCTGGGGAAAGAGATTGACTACCCCCTTCTCCACCCTACACCAACCTCCACCCTTCCATCACCAGAGACTACCCTGGGGAAAGAGATTGACTACCCCCTTCTCCCCCATGGCCTTAGTACTACCCACTGCAAACCAACTCACAGCAAAGCTGCAACATCTCAACCTCCCAATGGCAGAGTCTACTAGTAGTTCCACCTACTGTGGATGATGAGTTTTACAGGGACATGAATGAGGATGATGAGTTTTACAGGGACATGAGTGAGGATGATGAGTTTTACAGGGACATGAGTGAGGTGTATTTCAAAACGGTTCTTTTGTCGTCCTTCATCTCTCCTAGGAATGTGTTTTCTGTACAAAGCTGCAGCTCTGGCTCAGACTGGCATACAGCAACCCAAATGTAGTCTTAACGGGCAGTTTGTCTGTCGCCTCAGTCATTGTCTTTAGGAGACGTTTTCTTGGAAATTGTATTATTGTTACTATTTATTTGTTATATTTGATGTTTTTAGCTAACTCTTTATGCACAAACATTAATCTCATGTCTTTGGGAGAAATCGTGGTCATGAAAATGATGGCTGACGCGCTTGTGATTGAATTATGTTTTCACCCAAATGGTGGCAATTTGGCCGAGACCGTATACTCAAACAGGTCCTGTATTTTCTTGATTGAATTGACACACTACTAAAATCTGGTCAATTGGAATATTAGTCAATATGAAATTAGGTTATGTACGTAACAGTACATCAAACCGAAATATTAATACAATAATTGTCTTTATACCTTTCAGCTATGAATATCCTATTTAAGAAAGTTACCAACATTGTTAATCTGTGGTTTCCACATGATCCATTCCACTCAAGTGAAGACGCTGTATGATATTTCCTGCAGTTCAGGTTGCCTGTACTATACCTCTAGAGAGGAATCATTATTAGCACCATCATCATAACATTGTCATAATCGGTAACATTCACTGCAGGGGTTGACTGACTAAATGAATGAAACAGCAATATTACTTACACAAGGTAATTATTTACATCTTTACCCTAACATATACCTTGTAAAGAACCCCCCCCCCCCCCCTCCCGTGTCCTTATCCAATGAATATGCCTAGGTTTATTATGGTGTAATAGTGTGTCCTTATCCATTGAAGACGCCTAGAAAACAAGTGATGTAGGTATAGTAGCCTGGTTGCCAGATGTTTCGTTTTGCTTTAGCCAACTCCTCTGGCATTCGTTGTCATGCCATATGGACATTGGAGAAGTTACCTAAAGCTCTCACAGGTGTGGCTGGCACCAGGCTATAGGCACAGCGCCCTGCGGGCATCTAGAGCGGCAACAGTGAAGGTGAGCATGGTGGATAAGGTCAGGTCAGCCCGTAGAGAATGACAGAGTCCTCAAGTGGCCTAAAGGAGAGGCTGGTCATACTAGATTGACTTGGCAGGTTATGAAAGGTGGAATAACAACATGGGAGCTGTGCTTTACCAAGGCTTCTATCCAGGTTAGACCTTTTTACCATTCATTTATTAGATGGATCTTCTCTAGGTATCTGGCTAACAGCAAAATAATTAGTGTGTTTTGAAATGTTTACATTTACGTCATTTAGCAGACGCTCTTATCCAGAGCGACTTACAGGAGCAATTAGGGGTTAAGTGCCTTGCTCAAGGGCACATCGACAGATTGTTCACCTAGTTGGCTCAGGGATTCGAACCAGCGACTTTTCGGTTAATGGCCCAATGCTCTTAACTGCTAGGCTACCTGCCAACCTAGTTGAAAAATCTGTTGATGTGCCCTTGAGCAAGGCACTTAACCCTAATTGCTCCTGTAAGTCGCTCTGGATAAGAGCGTCTGCTAAATGACTAAAATGTAAACGTAAAAATGGACATCACGGGAGACTAACAGTTGTTTGTCATTGAACTGTAGCTACACCATGATCCCTTATTGATATCACTTGTTAAATCCACTTCAATCAGTGTAGATGAAGGGGAGGAGACAGGTTAAAGGATGTTTAAGCCTTGAGACATGGATTATGTATGTGTGCCATTCAGAGGGTGAATGGGCAAGACAAATTATTTAAGTGCCTTTTTATGGGGTATGGTAGTAGGTGCCAGGCGCAACGGTTTGAGTGTGCCAAGAACTGCAACGCTGCTGGGTTTTTCACGCTCAACAGTTTCCCGTACGTATCAAGAATGGTCCAGCACCCAACGGACATCCAGCCAACTTGAAAACTGTGGGAAGGATTGGAGTCAACACGGGCCAGCATCCCTGTGGAATGCTTTCGACACCTTGTAGAGTCCATACCCCGACAAATTGAGGCTGTGCCGAGGACAAAAGGGGGTGCAACTCAGTATTAGAAAGTGATCCTAATGTTTCGTAAACTCAGTGTATTGCTCTGGTGAAGATGCAGCAGTATGCAAGGTGAGTGAAAACCACTGCAGTATTGTTTGAATGGGATGATAACTAACCATTTGGTTCTTTGGTGCACATGATGATGATAGGCTATATGTGTAGTAAATACTGGGAGAAGACCAGCTAAATGCACAGGATGATGATAGGCTATATGTGTAGTAAATACTGGGAGAAGACCAGCTAAATGCACAGGATGATGATGATAGGTAGTAAATACTGGGAGAAGACCAGCTAAATGCACAGGATGATGATAGGTAGTAAATACTGGGAGAAGACCATCTAAATGCACAGGATGATGATAGGTAGTAAATACTGGGAGAAGACCAGCTAAATGCACAGGATGATGATAGGTAGTAAATACTGGGAGAAGACCAGCTAAATGCACATGATGATGATAGGTAGTAAATACTGGGAGAAGACCAGCTAAATGCCTAATTGTACTCTGTGCTGATGAAACTGTGCAAGACCGACAATTCTCTCAGAAATACATAACATTGTACTGTGTCAGTTAGCCATCCTGTTTCACCTCATTGATCTACAAGTTCAACAATTAATATAAATTTGGCAAATTAATGCAATGACTGCATAAACTAGATTATTCACTCTTTTAGCATGCACTACCTGGGTTCTCCACATGATGTCAGTAGTAGGCTACAGATTTTACATTTACATTTTAGTCATTTAGCAGACGCTCTTATCCAGAGCGACTTACAGTTAGTGAGTACTGGCCCCCCGTGGGAAACGAACCCACAACCCTGGCGTTGCAAGCGCCATGCTCTACCAACTGAGCTACAGGGGAGGTTTGTACATTATGACATTAGGATGCTGGTACAAGGTAACACAAACATCTGGGATTCACAAAAATGCTGTCAAATATTAGTTGATCATGTAAGCCATTCAAAAGACCACAAACCACAACTTGTATAAAAAAAAAAAAAAAATAGATTTATTGAAGTGAAAGGGAGATAATCGAAAGTTTGTCTCATGGTAAGGGATTAGCTTTGATGACAGTGGGTTAAACATGCAAGGGGAACATGACTGAGGTAGGCCTATCTGACTATGAACTGCCCTATGGTTTAAGAAAAGAAAATGCAAAAAGGTGTTTTCTTTGCACATTGCCCAGCGGTGTATTACACGGGTGGGTAACGAATATGGACATGAAGAGTGGGACAGCAACAACAAATTTGGATTCAGCGAATATATTCAGTAAATATCATTCAGTGAAAATGGAAATGGTGTACCAGATTCAAATAGCCTATTTTAGGTACGGCTGCACAGATATTCAATGTCTTACTACAGTTCATCGTTACAATTAATTAAGTGTAAATGTCTGCCATTATCAAACAGTAATAGAAAAACAAAATAGATTTGGTCAGTATTTACAAATAACACGTAATTTCCGAACTATCAAAGCTAGGGGTTAAGGAGCAACATTCTGACAAGGGCAGACATTCTTTACTGTGCTTAAAAAGACACCCTGCATACAGGCCATTCTATGCATGTTTAAACACACACCCTTTCTATGATGAAAACAGCACATACTGTAATGATATACGGATGACACCACAAACGCTTAATTTACACTGAAAAAAAAAGACACTGAATAAGAAAAGGAGATAGGAAACTGTCATACTTCAAATCCTGTAGTCGACTTTAAAATCTAGTTCAGACATGCATTTCTAAAAGGATTTTTGGTAGTTTGTCGCTTTAAATACATAAATCATCATCAGAAATCTGTATACACAGAAGGTATCAATATCAGTGAGAAAACAACACCTTTACAGGTTAGAGCTAATAATAGTGGACTTTTACGAAATGTTGTGAACTTCTGCCCTTTCAGTGGTTTGCAGGGGACAGAAGAGTAGAATAGAAGGAATCAAAAAGTACAAAAAAAATCATACGAAAAAAATTATATGTCAACTTGTTTCCTTAGACCAACCCTTTACCCAGCTGGCCCATGACACTACCCATGCCTACTGTAATATATGACAACAGACAAATACAGAGGGGTGGGGGTGGGGACAGGGAATACAAGGTTAAAACAGTCTGATCAGAACATAGCTTGGTGGTGAGCACATCTTTAGTCGTCTTCATCCTCCTCCGCTTCCTCGTCTAGATCCCTTTTCCTCTTCTGACCTCGCTCCTCTTCTAGGAAAACAAAAAAGTCATTGGTCACGTTCAACTTAAGTCAAAGTGTTATTTTAAAATCAGTCCCAACATTAAAGCTACACACGATACTGTGACGATGCGCATTCGGTTACAGCAGTGAGATTCCCACCCCACTCACCTTCATTGTCCTCATCACTCTCCTTGCCGTCCAACTCCTCCTCTTCCTCCTAAGAGGAGACAAATACAGCTCAGAATCTCCCTTGTCATGGGCCCTTGGTCACATTCAAATAATGATGTCATAGTGCAGTGGTTGAGATGCCCCTTCTGGGGGGTGAAGAGCACCAGGCCTTTGCTGGTTTAGCAGACATTATCCCAGTCTGCATCACTTAACACCAGCAGGTATGTGATCATTTTGTGTGGCCTTTTTTTAATTTTTATCATTGAACTACTCACGCAGGCCTCGATCAAGATAAAAGTATCATTGCAGCACCTTCCTCAAAGTCTCACCTCTCCACTTAGGTCTTCCTCTTCCTCTTCTTCACCTTCCTCATCCTTATCCCTTGGTGGGGCATCTTCATCCTCATCCTCCTCCTCCTCCTCCTCATCTACCTCTGCAGTTGAAAATAGAATTAGACTATTAAGAGTGATCAGAAACACCTACGGGCTATTACAAAGTTACACAGTTATAATGCAAGTCATTCACTGCGGCAACGTCCTATAATACAGTTGTTACAAAAGGAAACGTTTGAACAACATCATGAACATAATTACCATCAGAAAAACACAAAGGTCATTGGTCAGAACACTGTGGGCTTATGTTTCAAGCATGCCACAATCAGAATATTATTTATTTGCCAACATTTTAAATAATATGAATCTGTCTTAATCGTACCCTCACTGTCATCATCTTCATCATCCAGTCCCTCCACATAGGCCTCTGCATCCGAATCTGGCGCCTCCTTGTCGTCTTTGTCGTAGCCGTCGAGGTACGTCAACTGGGGGAGGAGCTTGAACACGTTGTCTCGGTAGTCGTTGAGGTTGGTCACCTCGCAGTTGAACAAGTCTAAGCTTTTGAGGGTCTCTAATTTTTTCTGTGAAAGAAGAGAAGTCGGATGATGAAATAAGAATATTTCGGCTTTGTTTATTTTCTTTAATACTGTTTAGTTGCTAATTGTTTACCTCAAAAGCTTTACATATAAGTTATGAGGTACATTTCAATCAATCAAATTGTATTTATAAAGCCCTTTTTACATCAGCATATGTCACAAAGTGCTATACAGAAACCCAGCCTAAAACCCCAAACAGCAAGCATTTGATAAATAAGGTATTTTCTGGACAATGTTATGTCCATTTAGGGGCCCCTTTTAGACTCAATAGCACATTGAAAGGCAAAACTACTGTATAGTATATATATACACAGAGCTGCTACGTTGTCATGACACCCGCTACCTACCAGAGGTTCTATCGTGCTGAGGTCTTTAATTTTGTTGCCGCTGAGGTTGAGGTGTGTGAGGTTTGGGCATTTCTCCGCCAACACTTCCAGCCCACCTGAGATCCTGTTGTCGCTGAGTTCAAGCTGAGGAGAAAATAATGCAACAATTGTATGAGTAATCACACCAGGACACCCATAAAACATATTTTAGCACTTTACACATTACTGCACAACAAGTGGTAATAGTATAGCAACAAAAAAAAATTGTTCAAAAATGAGCAAACCAACTTTTTTCAGCTTGTTCAGCTTCGGCAAGTTGGAGACCGAAGTCAGCCCAACGTTGATTGTGCTTAGAAATTCCAACTCTTCAAATTCATCTGTGAGGCCCTCGATTTTGCCTTCATTTGAGCGACAATTATCGAGCACCAGTTCTTTCACCTGGAAAACAATAGAGGAATAGGAAATATGTAACTACAGTAGGCCTGTCAGTCCATTTGAGGGAGGGCATTCCCAAAGCAATGGAGTCTGCAAAAAGTCCATATCTGACACCATAGGAGGCTGGTGGGAGGAGCTATAGGAGGACGGGCTCATTGGAATGGCCAGGATGGAATAATTGGAACGGTATCAAACACATGGAAACCACATGTTTGACTCATGTTCAATGAGCCCATCCTCCTATAGCTCCTCCCACCAGCCTCCTCTGTCTGACACTGGTCTGGTGCAGAAAATGTTACATAACTGATTGTGTGTTGCTTGGGCTTTAATGAATTGATCATTTATTAAACATATTAGCCAGAATCTGGGTTGTAGTTTCAGGTAACTCATTTATTCCATTGATCACTATTTGCCAATACATGGAGCAGGTGATTTCTCATAGGTATCTACATGTAGTAATGCATACACATTTAGATTTAACTCACATTAAACATATGCTAAATATGATATTACCCAACTTGTACACGCACACATTTTTAGGACATTATGCAGATTAATGTTTTGCACAGGATTCACCCAGATTCTCATTAGTGTCCTAAGAGGACAGTGACTAATATTAATATCTTACAATTGGTGCTGCTGCTTGTATTACATTGTCGCAGTCCCACAAATTAACCCAACCAGCTCATAGGCAAAACGCAGACACCTCTGGTATATAAAATTGGGCTTTAAAACAACTGATTTTCACGGTTGAAATTAACATTATGCTGAGTGGACACCTTTGGCATTATATTATACGCTGCATTAGGCCATCTGTGCTGCTTGTGAGAGCCAAATCCGCAAATTATGCACGTATTACGCACCTAACAAATTCGACTAAATAATGAGAAAGCCACGCAATGATCGACGTGTGGGTGTATTTGTCGATTTTCATTGCTCTAAAACCGAATACAACCTGCTACGAGTCGTGCAATGGGTCATCATGAGAGTAGGAGGGGCTGCGATTAGAAGTTGGTTGGGTTGGCAGCAGGCGCAAGAACACCAAACGTTACATTATTGCTTGCTCATAAAGAGTTGACGATTTGGATTGTAGCCTACTGCAGTATGTTTAAAGGTATGCAGGAAAAAGTTATCGTTCGTGTTAAATGAACGCACAGCAATTTACACGGTATCTTCCGATAGAAACCGTTGCCTTTGTTTCTCGGTAAAATGGCGGCTTGTCCTAGATCTTGAAACTGGAGCACCGCAGCCCGAAATTGCCTGTTGGTTTTTATGTGCTTAGCTTGACAGAAAATTATTCTCTGTTGTTTGATACTGAAACCAGAGTCAAACTCATCGTTTTACAAGTGGAGTCCAAGCATGCGTATAGCCTATGCCACCAAACGAGCCATAATGTAAAACAACACTGTAACAACAACGTAACATGCCTTTTTGATTGCGGTCGGCAATAATCTGTCAATGCATGATATTCTCGGAATGTGCACCTTGTTTAGAATGAGTCGAGCTAGATATTTCTTTACACGTTCTTACATTAATTTTTGAAATACAGACAAAACCTTTTTATTCCGGTTTTAAATTAGTTGTGTAGGCTAACACCAAATGTAGGATATGCACTTACTAATACTTAGGCTATTATAACAAATACAAAGTAGGCCTAGCCTATCATGCACGGTTAATATAGCCTACCCAACGATACACAAGTCTATTTGACAGTCTTTGGAATTAGCCTATTTTTGGATAAGCAATCCGTAAAACAGACCATTGAGATCGGTTACCAAACCAATTCCAATAGGTATAGCCTGTGCTGCGTAATAAGTTGTGAGCGAGAAATCGCCAGGGTACAACAAACAAGGACATTTTGTAGCCTATGCACGCGCTAACATAGTAATTGTTTGAGAACTGATAATTAAATAGCTGAAAAGAGGCTATGAATGCTCCTTGTTGGTGGGAAGGAAAAGGGCGCGTTCAGGACTACAAAGTTACCAATAGGCAATATTGTTCACGCTTGCCTTGTAAATACAGATATGAAAATGATAATTGGTGCATTCTCACAAACGGCACTTTCAGACACGCTTCCTTCCAATCATTTTAAGTTGGTTACGAAGTCTCGAGCGGCAATTACGGTGATAAATATCTGCAACAGTGAAACAATGTAACACAAACTGCTCTGGTGATGGCAACGTTGCTAACTCGCGAAAAACTTTGTAACCCTTTGCATATCACACTATCATTAAAACAATTGCAAACAATACGATCTCAACGTTAGCTTACATCAGATGGCGTGCGATTCCGCAATTCTAGATGGATTCTTTTCTTCATATCCATCTTGAGAAAACCAGTCCACGGATTTTATAAACCAAGTATACAGACGTAAAAGTATTTTACTGAAATTGCAACTACTACTCCTTGAACAGACTGCTGTTGTTCATTCAAACATGATCTCCTCGGTAGGCGGGAATATGAGTTGGGATTGTCGTCACCATTGACCAATTACAATCGCCAACAAAAAGGGGGAACGGATTTACACAAGATCACCCGCCAATAAAAGGCGATTATAAAATTGGGTGGGGTTTTCTACACAAAGTTTGGTTGTATGTTCAATATTTAAGATGATATCCAAAGTACGTACACATAAACATTGAATGATGTCCTTCATGATTTACTTAGCCCACAACTAAATAATTAAATGTAGCTTAACAGTGAGGATTCTCCTTAGCAATTAATTTAGATATTATTGTCAAAATGTTGCCTTATTTGTGCGGTAGGTTACGGACACCTTCAATGATGGGACTAATTACGCACGCAGGTGCGGTGCTTAAAACCTTTCAATCGACGTTTCTAATATCTTCGTCATTTGATCATTTTGAGTGTCGGCGAGTCTGCTGCCAACATCATTTTGGCATTGGGCCTTGGCCACAACATCATAATTATATAAGTACGCCTTTATGCACTGCACCCATGGAAAAGTCAAAGCTCAGTTTCCCTATACAGGCTAATGAAGAACGAGCAGCATGCAACTGCGGCAACATCTGGGGGTGACATGTAGGCCTAGCCTATAGTAGTTTATGCATAGCCAAACTCCTGTTTTTTTTTTATCTCCAAGAATGTGTGGGATGCAGGATTGTTGGCACCAAAATGTATTGACACACCAAAACCACTCACATACACATAAAGTGGTCGCATCAGAAACCCCCCCCATTGCCGCCATTACATGTGCATGATTGAAACAATGGTCTCACCATATATCCCAACCAGCGACTGCAATTGTGTAGGTAGGCTACAATAGGCTACATTGACTTCCGCATCTCTTATGAACCAACATTCATGCATTGGTGATGGAGAAAAACAAGGTCACCTGACTAGGCTACTCCGGCGCCATCTTGCCAGTAAAATACAATACAGTGAAATGTAATTTATTGATGATTAAAACGAACAAAAATCATTAACATTACCTATCATTGAGGTCAGTTCTGTATGGCGCTCCGACATTGCTTTAAAAAGCATGGAAAACGTAAAGCTTTGCGCGCTACTAATTGTTTTTCTCAAATGCACCGACTTTGCTGCCTTGAGAGAACACGTTTCATGAGAATCTCTGTCGCTCATGTCATGTACATTTCAGGTAATTTCGTTCTTGACAGTCTTCTTCCACTTTCCTGGCCAGTTTCCGCACCGTGCCTGCAGGATCATTTGGAACAATTTTTGGGTATTGCTGTTTGTCGCATTTGCCAGCACCATATTTCCGCTGGGTGTGTCCTTCTGACTATATGCCCTTGTTCTGCCTTGAATGTGAGAAGAGAACTGCATACTGCGTGTTTCTTGTGCGCAGCGCTGTTTTCCACGTCGCTCGACCTTTCCCGCCACCATCTCCCTCCCTTGCTCCGAATCCAGCTGAAACGCAAACATTTCGCTTGAGACTAGGAGGATAGGCAGGAGAGTTTGTAGGCTAGGAAAATAGCAACATCAGGTAACTCTATCAGGTCAGGTTGCTCTGATGATGTGTACATTTGTAACAACATTGTATTATTATCATGCTGTTTCATAGTAGGCTACGTTTGTAAATGCATTACTAATAGCCTACTTGCCTATGAAGAGGAGTGGCCGGTTTTGGTAACACAAGAGGAATATGTAGGTTAATATATCTATCAATCACTTGTGTAGCTAAGGCTAAGCTATAGCCAAACATTGTCAATTCAAGGCTTCTATTACTATGAAGTATAACTCAAGTAGGCTACTTTGTAGGAATTACAGTGTTACTACACAGGTATAAGACAATAAGAGGAAAACGTAAAGTGCGTTCACAGTGATACATAATGTAACCTGTATGCTATCTTTAACGGCACTCCATCTATTTTGGTTTGAACTGAAACAACGTTACAGGAGTAGCCCCCTGGCCCCATATGAATACAGGTTGAATGGTGGGCTAGATTAACAAATGAACATTTACAAGTACTACGTGTGTATGAATGAAAGATGCCACTTCCCAAATGTAATGTTTAACTTCTAAAGGCCCAGATACATTGCAGTCCTTCCTCCTACCTAGCAGGTAATATAACTGAGTATGATGTGATGGTTTTGATCAAAGTTGATTCAGGACCTACACAAAGACAGTCTTGTAGCCTATAGGCCTATACTAAGAGCTTGGAATATTTAGTTTTTTTTTTTTACATAGGCCTAGTTTTCATGTTGCAATTAGCTTGACTACATGCCCCTTTGACTAGATACCTACTGATTCGATAAGCCTATCAAGCTCATGTATTCACATTTTGTTGAGTTGTTGAGTTAATTTCGCCTGTTCAGTCACAGCTGCTCAGCTCCATGGCTGTACACCATTGCCATCTAGTGGTGGATAGAGTGCCTTGCCTACTTTATCTCTAAGCATGTGGCACACTTGCAGCGTGACGTAATTATTACAGATCAGCAGGGTATGAGATTTCTTATACAAGAGCTGGAAACACCAAAAGGAAATGTGCCAACCCAGTATGGCTGCAAGAGCAGAACATGAAGTTGTTAATTGTTTGGGGTGACATAGCAATTATTTGTGAAGAGGATAATTCAGCCATGTGTTTGAAGTTAACATGCTGGCTTATAAATACTGTAAAGTCAAAAATGGAAAATGTTTAAATCAAATAAAATCAAATGTTATTTGCCACATGCGCCGAATACAACAGGTGTAGACATTACCGTGAAATGCTTACTTACAGCCCTTAACCAACAATGCATTTATTTTTTAATAAAAAAAAGTAAAATAAAACAACAACAACAAAAAAGTGTTGAGAAAAAAAGAGCAGAAGTAAAATAAAATAACAGGGAGGCTATATACAGGGGGGTACCGGTGCAGAGTCAATGTGCGGGGGCACCGGCTAGTTGAGGTAATATGTACATGTGGGTAGAGTTAAAGTGACTATGCATAAATTATTAACAGAGTAGCAGCAGCGTAAAAAGATGGGGTGGGGGTGGGGGGGCAGTGCAAATAGTCCGGGTAGCCATGATTAGC